TTACTTGAAGAAAATCCTTCTAGTTGGGAGTAAACAGGAGTTTAGTATAGGATGGGACCAGCTGAGCCATTGTGTTTGCTTGCCCAGCAATAGATGTTCAAATTGTGGGTGATGGCATCTACTCTGTCTTTAGTAGCATAAATCTGTGATAAAATACTAATTCACAAATGGGAATCAGAACACACAGTAAGAGCTTGTAGAAAATGTTTACAGGTAACAAATCACCATAGAAAATAAAGGTGTCCCTTTGTAATTCTTAGAAAGGAAGGATAGGGTGTGAGCAGTTCAGGACTGTGATAACCAATATGCTTGAAGTGGCCATGGAAAGTGGAAATTTAGGGGAAGCGGATGGACGACAATCCCAAGGGAGCAGCTGCTGTGCCAGCACCTATTTAGGCAGCTGCTGTTGTGCAGGGAGAGAGCTGTGGCTGCTCCCCAGCAATGCAGCCTTCTGCCAGAGGTGGGAATCCTCCTCTCTGCCCAGGCACTAGCACACAAACACTTCTCTAGCATGTGTGTATTTATTCACAATACCTTCCCAATTCCACTTTTGCCTGAACCAAGTTAAACTGACTTTAACCACACCCAGGGAGTTTCCTGCAGGCTTTGAAAATGCCTGGATATAAATCCCCTAAAATTGCTTCTTTTTCAGTTATAAAAATTGCTTTGTACTAGGCAAAATTAATGAATTTGAAGCTGTGGTGCTGAGAGTAATACTGGGAAAAAAGCAGGTAAAATAAATGTTTGGTATTATACTCAAATGTATCTTGACCTAAGAAGAAATTGTTATAAAAAGCAAATCTTCTGCCCAGTTTTACATAGCAGCACAATCAATTTAAACTTTAACCTCCTTTCTTCCCTCTAAACCAATTTGTGGTTTCGTTTTCTTTTTTAACCTTGAGTGTATTTCATTGTAATGCTGAGCAAGGAATTGGGTATCTTGCAAGAATTACTGGTTGTTGGCAGTAAACTTGCCTGTTGCAGGGAGGCACAAATTCCTCTGGTTAAATCTTAGCAACAAAGGAGTTGGTGAAAAAGATTCTTGCTAGATTACACGTGGCCAAGATTTCACCCTTGATCTGTAGGTGGAATGCAAAAACGTTTCCTTTGAAGCCAATGAATATGTGGTTATTGGTTACAGCATGCTGCCTTCTGTCCTGCCCAGGCACACTCTGTAGCACGTAGGATGTGTAGAGCTGGGGAGATCCTTCTCTAAAAACATCAAGGGCTTTTTTCCCATAGGAAAAATAAGTTGTTTTAGAGTTTGATAATTAACAAGAGTGGCTTGGAAAGAGAAGGAAATGTCTTTATCATTTGTGAAACATTTCACAGTACAAAAGAAACCGACCATGTATCTGCTTTGGAGTGGAGCCAAGAGCTTTTCAGTGCACTCTCTATGGATAAAAGGAGGAGTGAACACCCACCCCAAAATAGCCAGCAATTGAATGGTCAGGGAACATGTGTGGGCTGAAGCAGCCAGTCTGTGGCTGTGAACTGAGAAACATCTGATGAACAGAGTAGTGTTTTCCCCCACCTCCACTCAAGAAAAACCCCCCATCAGACAATTCTCAGGATCAGCTGGTAGTCAGTGTTTGGTTAACCACTGAGAAGCCAGTTGTGTTTTAAAGGGCATTGTGAGTAACCCTTAGAGGACCCAGTTCAGATAAAGTTGCTATAACTTGCAACTACTATCCAGACACAATCCAAGTGATCGCTTTTTGGAGAACTTGCTTCTGATGAATCTACATCATTGTTGATTTCTGAAGTCTTATTTTTCTATGCCAGTTTTGCCCACTAGGGACCTCGGTGAAAGTCTGATATTAGTGGTGCCTATTGATGTAGTCCTTGGGTATTAAAATTTCTTCCTAACTTGGCTGTTTCTCTTTTCTAGAACATCAGAAGATGGAAGCAGACTCTCATTAATTATTTACTGTTTTGATTTTGTGCTTCCTTTCCTGTACTAAGAATGTGATCTTTTAATGAATGAGCCTAAAATTACTTTTGTTTGGTTTTTCTGTGTGACAGCCTTTCAGATGCCAGGTTAGTTTATTTGCTTTGACATTCATATTGCATCCTTTTTATCTTTACTTATTAATAGCTTATAAAATATGCATGATGCAGACAAAAGAGACTCAGATGACAATTACTGAATGAAATTCAAGATTTATGCCTTATTTCCAAGGCTGGAAGAAAGATATTTGTAAGATTATTTGAAGCTTCAAGAAGAGGATTATCAGACATGGTGGATGTCTGTATGTACTGCCCAGAGCAAGCCCATCTGTGTAGGCACTTAAAGCTTTATGGCCACAATTGAACACTATGGCATAAAGTCCTACAGCATCTGGGGCTTGCCTGGATGCTGCTTGTTATATGTTGCATTAATGTCTGTTCTCTAAACAGTAATAAACAAAATGTCTGCTGTCTTTATCAAGCTACAAAGAGTGACCCTGGCTTTTATAATTTAGGAATAATGTAATTTGCTTGGGTGAAAATATATGTCCTGTACAAGTAGAGCCTCACAGACTTAGCTTTTCACAGCCTGATTGTTCTAATTTTTCTCTTGGTTCAAGCCCACAAAGCTAAATTTCAAAAAGATTTGAAATAATTTTTCACACCATGTTTGGTTTGGTTGGTAGTGTAGTTTGTAAATGACAGGTGACTGGACTTGTGCCAAAAATTCAACTAATCAAACAATTATTTCTGTTCAGTGTGAATTCTTTTTTACAGAAATTATCTTTTCTTTAGAGAAATTTGAAGCAAGAATGATATAATTTGTTTTGTTTACAGTGCCAGACACACTGTCATGGCTTTTAGCTAGATTTCAACAGATTTCCTATTATTACTGATCTGCACCTTTCTTTGCAAGTAGCCCCATAACAATCAACAATTTTATGCATCTAGGAACTAGTAATTCTGGTACTTAACAACTTACCATTACTGTGGATGTTAGCAAGAAAAAAGGTGGAAGCTATCAGAAGGTAGATACAAGGACAGAAGAGAGATTTTTCAAGTATTTGGGTTGAAGAAAGTGACAATGCAGCTTAATGAAAGTATGGTGTTTGCAGTTCAAGAAAAGTGTTTAATTTTTTTTAAACAAAACTGCAAACATACTTAACTGACCATAATTTCAAAATTCTTTTTCTTAGCTCTACTTTGGAGTTGTTTCTTTTCATGGTGTACAATAAATGTAATTATCTTTTCTTATGGACTAATTTGGTTTTCAGGGTAAGAAAGGCTAGATTGTTCTTTTAATTAGCATTCAGAGGAGGCAAAGAAGAGGATGATAATCACATCTATTATCTGGATGGGTAAACAGTAGTAAAGGGCAGTCATTCCCTGTCTGGTGCTCAAGTGCAATGCACAGAAATAAATTTATTGATCTAATTTACCAGAAGATTTATGGGCCAGATAATAATTTGGAATTTTATGGGAATGTGTAATATTTTAAGTCTATGTTGCACTTTCCTGCAGTCAAATAGAGAACTAAATAAAGTAGCCATTAATATTTTCTTTGAGTTTTGAAATGTTATGCTTTTCTGGGTTTAACACAGACTTTCCAGCTTAATATAATGGATTGCATTAAAGAAAAACATTGTGATGGCCTCTATCTGTATGATTACTCCAAACAGGAAAATGTCTTTAGAAAATAGTTATTTTCATACCTAACTAAAAATATACTCATGATTTAAGTAGACTTGTTTCATGCATGTTATTTTTCATATTTATTCTGATTTAGGCTATTTGGACAGCTTTGTGTTTGGTTTGTGTTGTGTACCCTGGCCCTGCAGCAGGCTGGGGGAGCAGAGGTGCCAGCAGTGTGTGTGTGGCACCTGGGCTGTGCCCAGCACCCTCTGCCCTGCAGCCAGGACAGGTGGCACAGCTCGTGCCCGTGCTCCTCAGCTGTCTGCAGAGCCAGCAGCAGCACTGCATGCACACAGTGAATCCTTCTGATCCAGGGGCCTTTGCTGCCCACAGACTGGCTCCCAAAGCTCTCCTAAGGATGAAGGATCCATAGTTTGGATACTACACTGTGTGAGCTAAAGAATCTGCAGGAGTTTCCTGGCAAGATAATCCAGTCCTGTTCCTGTCATTCAGCCCAAGGGAAACATGCTGACTCTGTATGAGTCAGGGTGGGTTTTTTTATGGCACAGTGAGTGTTGTTTCCAAAGGAATTACATAACCATTCCACTCCTAGCATCATGGTAGTCAGAGTATGTTAGCAGGGGTTTTCAAGCTTTGTGCATTTAAATGGCCACCTTATCCTAGTAAACAGTGTGTTTTTCTGAGTTACTGTTCCCTTACACTTGTTGATTATTAGCATAAAATATTTCTGCTGCTGTTCAGATTTGCTGCTGATTTTAGAACAGATCCTTTATTGATTTAAGCATGACCACAGTAAAATTTCAAGTGGTTCAGTAAAATTGCAGGCTTGTGTTACAGTTAGTCTATAGATAGATGAGTTAGGCTATAGATATATGAGTTAAGCTAGAGATATATGAGTTAGGCTATAGATGCATGACCCGGACCTGTCTTGTGACCAATAAAGTAAATTTTTAATTTTAAATCATCATAGCAAAATCTACATATGAATGTTTTTGCTTGTCATGTAACCAAAAACAACCTCCAGGAAAGATGTTTGCATTAATGTGTTACAGCAAGTCTGATGTTTGCTGCTAAAAAAAACTTCCATGGCAGCAGGAGATTTTGGGACCAGTAAAGCTTTGATATTTGTTACAATTCTAGTGTGGGATATTAAAACTGCAGATAGTGCTCTCCATCATGAACAACTAGATGAACAACTCGAATCTTATTTGTAACTTAAAAGGGAGTAAGATGATCTAAAATGAAATGCAAATGGGAATGCCTGTACGTGCAAAGGAATAAAGCATTCTGATTTTAAGATGTAATATATGTTTATATTGTCTTTGTGATACTTTCCTCATTCAACTGAAAATTGCATATTTTTGTTATGTATAACCTTATGGTTTTATTTATTTCAGACAAGCTCTATATGGGACCAGGGCAACTGTACCATGATCTGCAGAACCTTTTACATGACTTGAATGTACTTGGTCAAATTAGCCAATTAATAAGCAGCCTTAAAGGAAACTATCAGGTAATAAACAAAGCTGGGTTTATTTTTCGAGTATGTTCTTGTAAAGTTGTATAATTGCCTCTCCCTGGGGTTTGTGCAAGGCATTCTTTATTCTCTCTGCAAAAAGTGGAATAATTTTTACCTCTAGTATTAACTCTAGTTAACAGCATTTACTGTTGACTGTTAAGTTTTATAAATAGATTACAGCTGTCCTTCTAATCTTGCTTTTCTTTATTGGTTTTAAGTGTAGGTGGATACTACAAGTGTCTGCATTTGTTCAGTAGCTGATAAGCTTACATGGAAACAGAATTACATTTTGATGTTAAGAAATTGGATTCTGGCAGTTAGACATGGTAGTAGGAGGATGGTTGTTTGAGGAAGCTCTTGATCCCCATCCAAGCTCATAATCCTGGCTTTTGGGGGGAAACTGTACTTAAAGCTGAGTATAAATTACAAAAATATAAAAGGATTTTCAGAAGAATTTTGAAACTATTTTGCTTTAACTTTGTTCACATCCCTTTGATTTATCTTATATTCTGGCAAACAAATGTAGTACTTAACACCACATGAAGCCTTGAGACTTCAAACAATTATTTTTTTGCTTGGTTTTTTATACATTTTATATGTAGTTAAATGTAGTTTTTAACTCCTACCTGCCACCACAGGTTGCAAATGTGTGTATATGTATGAATATATGAAAGCTGAGTTTCTCTTGACATATCTTGGCTTCAGAGTAAAGGCATTAAATAAAACAGCATTTGGTGAAGATATGTACTCTGAATGAAATTTATGGAAAGAGCGTTCTTGGAAAAAGCTTCACAAGTATTAGAAAGTGAATTTCATCTGCATAATTGGGAATATGTATAGCACAGATATACCATAAGACATTCACCCATCGCCATACAAAAAAACCTTTCTGCCTGCACTGCACTGACAGTCAGAGGCAACTACACTTTGAAAACTTAAAAATCAGTCATTGTTTCAGGGTAGATATGTGTAAGATCATTACAGGAATTTAGGTGAGGAATGAGGTTGGCTTCTTGATATTTGAAAAACACTTAAGTTGTCATAGAATTCTGATGGAAAGTGTGGTAGTGTGGGTACTTCTGTGTACTTGTTGGTCTCAATGCTTTGTACATTCAGGTGAGCTTTTACTCTCTGCAACAGAACACTCACCTTGCAGTTATTGTTTCAGCATCTTAAACAGATTTAGACCACACATCTTTCATGATGACTCTCTAAACATTTTGACTCAAAGATTTAAACAAAAGCATATTTTCTACATGATTTGTTGATGTTTTCAAAATATTTTCTTAAGTAGCAGAATTTGTGATGCTGGAATAAAGTAAAAGGCTTATGCATACACCTGATAAAAATTCACATGTTTGAATTTGACAAACACTTGGGAATGTCATTTATGCATCATTAAACTGAGCAACGTGAGATTAAATGTTCAGATAAATTACATTAGAAAATATTTTACAGATATTTCTGAACTGTGTTTACAATTATGGCTAAATTATCCATGATGGAAATGTGGTCTAATTGAAGGCATGCGTCATTGTTGTATGCAGGAATTACCTTATTATCCTGATTGCAACAGGCAGGTAGACTGGTGTTGAATTTTAGTTTTTTTAATTTTTCAGAACTTAAACCAATCTGTAGCCCATGACTGGACCTCAGGTTTACAAAAACTGATTTTGAAAAAAGAAGATGAAATCAGAGCAGCAGATCGCTGTAGAATTCAGCTGCAACTCCCAGGAAAACAGGACAAGTCAGTAGAAATCTTGATTACAAAACTTTCTAAATTGGTTTATGTATTAGGTATAGATGTACAAGTGAGAATTTGGGAATCTGTAGCTCTTCCCTCCCTTCTGTCTCCATAGTAAGCTCCTGAGTTTTGCTCTTATGCCATAATGCTGGCAGCTTTAATGCTCCAGAGCAGCACTGTGGCTTTTCTCCCATTCCTCAGCCCAGCTTTAATGTTCCAGAGTAGCCCTTTCTCCTGTACCTCAGCCCAGAGTTCTGGATGCAAGAAGCAAGAGGGGAACCGTGACAGTGACAGCTGACTGGGTACAGTCACTGTTGTATTCCTTCTCCAGTTCCTCTCAGAACATTTCATGTAAAGCATATGGCATATCATAGCCTGCACACTTCAATCAGAGCTGAGTCTTTGTCTAAGTATTAGAAAATAATGAAATTTCATCTTGCTCAATATTTTTAGCCATGGCTGTATTCATACCCAATGCATTTATAGTGGTTTTTTTTTTTTTTTTTCTGCACTGCAGGTCTGGGCGGCCAACTTTCTTTACAGCTGTGTTCAATACATTTACCCCTGCCATCAAACAGTCTTGGATCAACAATTTGCAAATGGCTAAACTGGCCCTTGGTAATTCCTACTTGCTCAAATTTCCTAACAAGTTAAAATACCTCTCAATGTACAGTGTAATATGTTATTTTTTTTTTTTTTGAGAATGATTTTCCTTTTTTGGTGAAAACTGTAGATGTTTAAAATTGCAATACAGTAAATAGTAGTGATTGTGTGTCACTACAAAGTAATAAAATAGATAAAACAGGGCACTCATTATGAAGGAATATATTTGTTTTAATGAAGTCTGGTATTCATTATCAATTGTTGCATCTATATCAACACAAATAGTCTCTAAGTTAGAGCAGTATAAATATGCTGTCCTTTGATGTTATTAATCTCCTGTGTTTGCACAAAGGGATAGCTTTCCAAAGATACTTGGACTTTTCAGTGCCTAAGTTGAGAAACATTAACTTGCTTGAAAGCAAGTTTCACCAGCACATGGTCAAAATAAAGTGCTTTTGTGATGTCTCATGGAAGACAAGCAAAATAACAAAAAAGAAGAGAGAATGGATGTTTCCATCACTCCAGGACAAGGATCCTGATAATTATGATAACTGGCAGCTGGTAGTGATGTTTCTTAAACAGGCAGAGAAATGCTGTTCAACATCAGATTTCTTAAGAATCTTGAGGAGAGGCTTGCTGTGTCTTTTCCTCTTTCAATATTCAATTTACAAGGTCATTAAGAGACTATCCTTAACATTTTGCTAATATAAGATGTTCTTTTTTTGTATTATCAGTATGTATGTAATCTATTCAATTGAATTTCTACTCATAGTTTTATGTTGTCATTAATGCATCTATGGCATAAGAACAGACTGATTTGTATTGATTCATCCTGACAGAATCCTTTTCTGTTTCTGTGGAAAGGTGGAAGTGATTATTCACTGAAAGGATTGTGGAGTGTTTATTGTTTTTTCTTTCCATTACAGCAGAGGATAACCTGTTAGGTTGGTTCTGCATAGAAGATGATGGGAATCAAATCAAAAAGGAAAAACATCCTCTCCTTGTTAGACACATGCCAGTGATGATGGCCAAGCAACAGGAGTTTAAGGTGAATGGAATTTTAATATGATATTGCAATTAGGTTTTCTTGTGTGATATAATTTCTCAAGAATACCATATTGTAAATACATCTATTAGTTCACATCTGTTAGTTCTCTTGAGCAGCTACCTTGGTTTAAGGCCATTAGCAATTAAAGGTCCAGAAGAGTCACAGGAATGCAAAATGCTGCAATCTTTGAGGCACTAAGGATCATAATGTTTATTTTTACATAGTATGACATTCACTTTCATATGTAAGTGAATCACTCAGTGTAAACAGAACTGTTGGGAATTTTTAGTTCATCTTGAGATTTCCAAGTGTGTTTTTGGGGCTTAGAAGTAACCTAAAACTTACAAAGAGCAGGAATCTGGTCTGCATGAAAGCTGTCCTTTCCTGGTGTAACTGTGCTAAATCCTCCTCAAATTTCTGATTTTCATCAGTGCACAGAGAACAATATTTAAAAAATATTTTTTAAAATTATGTTTCATGAAATCTTATGTAAAATGTCATATTCTGAACAGTGATACAGACATTATCTTAATGGTTCATTTCCTAAAGCAGTGTGTCCATTTGAAGCCTTATTGACCACTGACTCTGATGATGAAAATAAGTACAAAACCAAACCAATAGATGAAAGGGAAGAGTGCTGGATGCTATGTTTCCAGTGTACCAATAGGATTTCTTATTGACCAGCAGTCAGTAAGTCTTGTGCAGAAAGACTAATGGAAATAAAACTGTGCATGTGTGGATAGAACCCCAAAGTTAAGTTAATGTCATTGCATGGGTGCTGCTTAAAGAGGTGAGTCTGCAGGCCCTCACTGCTAGAACAGCCTACACAGGAGAGAAGCTCAGCTGACAGCTTCACTTCGCATGTGAGTGTACAAATTGGATATTGGGGGAAAATAATTGGTGGTTCAAAATGCAGTAGGAATGTGTAATGGTGCTAAGACAGTCTATTCCTCTGATATTGGCTTTCAGAGCAGCTAAACTTTACTGAAACTCTCTGATTTCCCATACAACCAGTCATGCTTCTCTTATTGAACAGCTTTTTCTGGGGTTTACTTTCTAAAGTCATCACTGATGAAATAACCAGCTATTTTGAAATTTTTTCAGAAACTTAAATAATGTATGTATTTCCTTAGAGCCCAGCCATTTGTAAGTCCTGGAAATGTGTGCCAGGATCATTGAAGACCCAGGCTCAACTCTTGTAATCAAGTTAGAGCAGAGTCTTCTTATTTTGAAAGGAAAGGGAAGTTTGTCACCTTTACAGTGGGCTGAGATCTTTGCCTTGGTCACCTCAGGAGAGCAGAGTGTGTGACAATATTGGCCTCAGGCCTGGGCTAACTTTGCCAGTTTTGCAGCTCCTAAAGTAATGTGGGTGTGAGGTATCATTCCTGGTTCTCCCAAATCCTTGATGATACTAGAAAATATGACTTAAGTATTACTGCAGGCTCAGCTGCAGTTTGGCTCTCCAGCCCCAGCTGAGGCTGGGAAGAGGAGCTCTGCTGGGCTAATCCTGTTTGTTGCTGTGTGCTGCTCAGGCTGCCCACTGGTGTAGGGAGACATCGGAGCAGGTTCATGTCCCAGCCTTCTGTCAAGACTGAGAGCTAAACTACCAGGGTTTAACTATGGAAAAAACATCACTTTTGACTAACATGAAAAGTGACACAAGGTGTAACAATGAGCCTGGGAAATATCCAACATGCAGTCTGTCTTATTTTTCACTAGTGATTTATTTCATTGTCACAGCTACTGTAAATGACTACAAGTAGATAGCTTCAGCATGTGTTAAATGAGACATGCTAAGACAGGCATGGAAGCTCTTTTTTCTCTCTCTTTTTTTTCATCTGTTGATTTCAGATTTTTATCTGTATATAGTGAATTGCTTTGCTGAATAAATAATGTTTTTTCTACTAAAGCAAATCACTTAGTAATGCCTGCTGACTTCAAGGGGACTGTAAAATTCTTTGCACTTTGGAAAATTGAGTAAACTTGGAATTTAGAACTCTTAACTTTTGCCAGCTTGTTTTGTGGTGTTTTTTCGGTTTTGTTGGGGTATTTTTTTTTGGTTGGTTGGTGGGGTTTTTTTTGTTTTATTTCGATTTTGTTTTGATTTTGTTTGGTTTGGTTTTTGTGTTTTCTTTTAATTGTTCACTGTTTGGAGGTAATGTTGCTAGGCTATGGGGAGTTAATACTGACTGAGTACTTTAAGTTAATACTAACTGAGTTTTCACTAGTACTACAATATAATCACAAGGACATTGATGTCCAAGATTAGCACATTAGTTTGAATTCCAGAGAATCTAGTGTAAAAATGTAGTATGACACCTCATTAATAACCTTTTTATTCTCCACTCAGTTATGAATTGCTTTTATATATTTTGAAGTGTTTACATAAGCTTTATGAAATGCCCGTGGATATTAGGGAAATTAGAAATCCATGACTGGTCATAAAAATGGGGTTTTTTTCATATCCTTGATGCTTGATTTATCTTCCAGTTGGGATGGACTTTAAATATAGGCCTTGAGTCTGGTGTTGCTTTCAGTGGTTTTTTTTTAATGGCCTGCATGATAAAATCATGACTATTGTTATTAATATACTGACAGTAACATGATGACAGGAGATTGGAAGGGAGTTGAAGTCTGAAGAATGATAATATTACCATTCAGAATGATCAAGGCACCTGGAGAAATAATTTGGGGGCGGTAGAGGTGGGGGAAGGAAAATAAAAAGCATGACAGTCAGCAGGACAGACGCATGGTATGCTCACTGAGACATTAGGATTTTCATAAATCCAGATTGAAGAGGTGGTTTAGTTGGTCTGTTAAAGTAATTTTTAATAGACCAGCCAGGTAAGGATTGGTTAGGAATGTAATATTGTTACAAAGAGCAGTAATGAATGAGATGTGTAGAAACAGGTTTCTGAAGAGGTAACCATGGTGTAGTGCTGCTACCAGCTCTCCTAGAATAATGTTTCAGGTGAGAAAACTCTGTGCTCTCAAATACACGCATGAGGCTGATATATCTGCTGGAGGGATGTCAGTTGAAAAAGTGGCAATAATAAGTTTAAAAACAAAAATTTGAAAAAAAATGTTTAAAAAACTATATGTAATTAAATGATAATGTTAATTTAGCCTAATGAAGAGGTGTCTCAGGCAGGGTCATGACATATACCAGCCTTACATGTGAAAGGACACTGCAGAGAAAGAGAAGTAAGTACTTGGTGTGTGAGATGAGAAGTAACAGGCTAATGATTACATCAGGGATGGTGTCAGGTTGGGGACATGAAAAAACTTCACAAAAGTCATGAAGTTATGAAGCATTTGAGCAGATCAGCAAAAGAGAATTTGTAGTCTTGGGCCATGAGGGTCTGTAGGGGTGGATAAGGAATGTGTCAGGAGCAACATCCGTGCAGCTGACCCTGCCCAGGGGAAGCTGGGTGAACTAAACCCACTCCTTGTTTTAAGAGATTCTTTCATACCCTTAAATGCTTCAGTTAATTGCAAACTAAAATAGACAGAAACAGGCATATTTCTCTAATGTGCTAACAGCTGTCTTTTCCTCTCCTTGAAGGTTGAATGTGCTGCTTATAATCCTGAGCCATACCTTGCTGGAGAAACAGAGGCCGATTCCTGTGCTGTGGAACATGGCTTTCTTTGGGTAAGTGTAATCTTTACACTTTACCCAAAGTAAAATCTGAAAGTGGTTGTCTCCTGTTTCTTTCCATTGCTTTTGGTGGCTTTTGACAATGTGTAGGTATGAAAGAAATGTTGGGTTGTTTTTTTCTCTTTGTTTATTTGTTTAAAGGGTTAGCTACTAATTTGCCCATGTGATCTTGCTGGTCTCTGTAGGGTGTCAGTTAAGTGTGTGTGATTTGTGCAGCACAGAACGAATTCCAAAGTGCTGAGCACATTCAGAAGGGAGTTATGTGCTAATTTGTAACAATTGCTGCTAAAACCCGTATGAGCTTACACTGTCCTACTGTCTGTTTTCATATTTCAAGAATGTTTTAGCCAAAAATAATCTGTTTAAATCTGCATAGGAAAAAACTTACTCTGCATATTGCTATGACCCCAGACATGCAGATATTCTAGCAGAAAAAAATGAGGTGGATAGAAGCTGTTCATAAAAGAAAAAAAAAGACAAGCTAATGATTTCAGGGGCTTTTCTAGTTACCACAATACTGAAATTTTAAAGGAACCCTTGCGAATTAAAAGTTAGAAATAACTTTTCTTAGCGGTCTTTTTCAAGACAACCCTTATAATTTCCTTTTGTCTTTGCATTTGTAAACAGTAGTTACAAAAACATGCAAATTAAATCTTTCTGCTGCTACAAAATGTTCTTTCTTTCTCTTTCCTATTTTATTTCGTATAAACAGAAAGAGTTACTATACAAAAGCATGTACTGTGCCTGATCCCTAAAATGTGCAAGTTTATGGACATGTTCATAATACTTAGTTCTGGATCAGGGAGAAATTTAGGCTTCTGTATCAGCAAGTTTACAAGACTCTTTCTTTTGGGATGGAGCATTTCTTTGTAGGGCTGTTACTGTGCGAAGGACAGGCCTCAGCTATTTTACCTGTTTCAAAAGAACCTGAGACAATTAGAACACCAGTTATTAAAATAACATGTTGCACAGATACTTACAGTAATTGCATTATGTAATGTATATACGTTTGAGTCAGATAGCAGAATAGGCCATGATATTATTCCTGCTTTAAAAACATTTTTTTTTGTGAGTGTAGAAGGCAAGTTTGTATGTATAATGTTTTGATATATCTTGTATTTGTGCTGAATTATTCTCTTATGTCTTGATGCACATATAACTTGAGATGCACTCTTCAGTTAACATTCCAGTCATTCCTTCTTGTACTTGTTCATCTTCTGGAGACAGGTATCAGTCATGGTCTGTTGTGCTTTTTTCTAATTTTCTTTTTTTCATTTCAGATTGGCAGCTGTACTAATCAGATGGGCCAGGTTGCAATAGTCTCGTTTCAAAGCTCAGGCCCCAAGGTTATTGAGTGCTTCAATGTGGAATCACGGATTCTCTGCATGGTCTACATACCAGAGGAGGAGAAGCTGAAAGAGCAAAACAAAGCTCCAGACTCTGAAAATGTTCTTGCAAAAACTTCTAATGTGCCTACTATTTGCCTTGGCATGGAAGAAGGAAGGTGATTCTTGGTTTTGGTGTAATGTGTATCATTTATTGATTAAGTTTGCTATTCTGTAGCAAAATTGTGTGAGATACTTCTAAGAAAATGTTTACTTTTTAAAAAAGTATTCAAGAGTTATCCAATGACCTCAAGGTATCCTTTCCACTTAAATCAAGAATAAAATGCACTCTACAGTATTTAAAATTATACCGTGTGGTATTTGAAATTAAAGCAGGGCATCTTATTGATGAAAGAAGATTAGTTCATCATATCTGAAATATATAAATACTACTTTTGTAACATTACAAGGCAATCTTCAGGTATTGGAAAATTTTCAGAATGGCAGAGAGGAGTCCATTAATCTTCTGCCCTGTCATTTGTGCAGGATTTGTCACATGAAAAAAAATATTGCTGTTTACTATTGACATGAATTACTTCTCTGTCTTTGAACTGATGGCCTACAGAGCCATGATTTGTGTTGAAGAACAAGGCTACATGTTCTTAATTTATAGGTCAGTTAGCAAAAAGATCTTGTTACAGTTACTGAGGCCATAAGTGTGTAACTACATGTGATTTTTGAAGGTGTTTGTAACCAGTATAAATGAAGGAGAACAAAGTTTTCCAAGGAAGGTGCCATTTCTAGAAGTCAGTGATTTAATTCTAAATTTGACAATATTCTTACCATACCCATTGTAACAATCAATAGGAATCGTGGAAATTTTATGTGTAAGTGATGTCTGGTAGTGAGTTTTTCATTTCTTCTCCCTAGTTCTCCACATAATATATATATATAGTTTTTTTTAACTAATTAAAGTTTTAGAAAGACTCATAATAAGGACTTTGAGCAGAATTTTTATTATGTCTCTTTTTTGAATAACTGTTTCTGCAGACAAGATAATATGAATGTGTTGTCATATGTCAATGTTAAGTAATTGCAAGTTGTCTACGCAGACATTCTGGGGTGTCAAGAATTGAAGGAAAAAGTCCTCTTTCCCCCAATATTTTATTTTAAACTTCTCTTTTGCATATTCTAGCAGGATCTATGTAAAGCATAATGTCACAGGTCTGTTTCTTCTTGCTTCTTTCTATAGCATTTCTATTTACAAAAGTTGCCAAGGCTCAAAGAAAATTCGACTTCAACACTTCTTCACTCCTGAGAAATCAACAGTTATGAGCTTAACGTACAGGTCTCAGTACTTGTTTGCTGGCTTGGTGAATGGAAACGTCTCAATCTACACAAAAGCAGAAGGTAATGCTGCATAGTGATATGATTTGATGGCATCCCGAGGAACTGACATGTCAGTGTATTTTGGCAGAAGTAATTTTCCACTAATGTATTTTCTGAAAATTCTTTGTAAAACTGCTGAACTAGGATTACTGCTCTTTCCAGTACGTCTGAAGAGACTTGTTGGCTCTTTTTGAAGGATAGTAGGAACTTTGATACTGTTCCCACTTTTACCATACATGTATATGACAATTGATTTTCGCCCTTAGCTTAAATCTTGAATTCTTCAGTGTTGCAAGAGTCCAGAAATTTATGTGCTAACAGCAGTACTCACTATTTTACACAGCACAGTACTTATTTCTCTCCACTACCAAGTATTGGTGTTTATGAAACGCAGAAATCTCCTATTGGTAGAGATTTCTGTATATCTAATTTTAAATGACAACCTCATTTTTACGGTACAGATGGCACAAGCCTTTCCTATGTGTGGACTTCATGTATTTTATGTAGGCCTCCTTTTTGTTTTAGAATCACAGTTGGTTGTTTTGTATCTAGCTAAATAATTGGCTAAAATAATTTGAATAAAGGAGAATCCCAGGAAAATTTTCTGAACCACAGCTGTCTTTTCCAGGGCTGGTTTGGGTGCTTCCAGTACATCTCACTAAATTCCCTGCAGTATTGCATATATATATAAATATAAATATAAATATATATATATATATATATATATAGTTATTCAGTTGCTGATGTCAAAATCAGTGATGCTTTGCTCAAGGTTTGAAACTTAATTTAAGTGAAATGTTAGCACAGAGGCTCCTAACCTTGCAAGGTACAGAGCCAGCAGAGCCCTGCCTTGTTTGTGTGAGCTGCAGTAATGATGGCTGTCATGCTTCTCAAAAGAGATGGGCCCTGTGAACAGTTCAGCTGCATTTGTGTGGCGCTGTACCTTGGCTACTAAATCCTGCCAGTCCCTAACTGAGGAACCAAACTGAGTATCTGTAATCTTGAGGTAAATTATGTGTCCACTGTTAGATCATATAAAGAGCTTGTTTGGGAAAGGTACAGGATGCTTTTTTTTTTTTTTTTTTTTTCCCCAAGCAGCAAAGGATCTGGGAAAAAGTGCTGGGAAAGAGACTTCTTTTGTCCAGTTGTTGTCTTCAACCCAGTAGGTTTCCTGTTGAGCTGTTGTCTGTGATCCAAAGCCAGGCATTAGATTTCAGTTCCCTTTAAAACATTTTTTTTAACTACTGAATAGCATTTTTTTTCTTTGCTTTTGAGGTACAGGAATGAGGTCTTGATCCTAGATTCATAATATTTTTGGTATTTCAGTTTCTCTACATACCTGGGAGGGGTATTAAAGTGAATCTATCACCTTCTCTGAAAGGTGTTGGTGTATTTAAGCTGTTTTAAGACTGCAATTACTATCACTCAACTTCTTCCAGGAAAGACCACTACAAAAACACAACTGACATCCTTGGCAGTATAGCTAAGAAAGGATTCATGGGTTTCATATCTACAGAGAATGTCAAAGGTGGGGCAGAGCTGTTAACCAGATGGCATTAGAGTCTGGTTATGAGAATGGAGGTAGTTGCATTGATCAGGATCATAGCATACTCTGCTTGTCTTCTTCTGAAGACACTGGTTTGGGGCAGTGAGATGTTCATAGAGTCTGTCAGGGTCATGGTCACTGGAACTTTGAGATGAGAAATAATGATATTTTTCTGACTCTTGTCATTTAATCTTGTAATCCCTCTCCTTACTGCTTGGTCAGGCTTGTTTCAGTTCTCCATGCCCCGTGGAAGTTGTGTGATTCAGCTGCTGCCATGTTAGCATCCATCTTCCTTGTGTTGGCTGCTGTGGTTATGTGAGGCACTCAGCCCTGGAGGGGTGTTTTTATGAGCACTGACCTATTTACCAAACAAAGGAATCCAAGCAGTGAAATGGGAGGGAGGGGGAATGCAGCCTCTGAGGAGCTTTGTGCAATTCATCAGGGGTGCCTTCTCTTCTGCAGGAGGTTACTTTTCAGCCACTTCAGCTTGGGTTTTGGTCCGTCATCATAAAGGAGATTAAGTAAAGATTTTAAAGTGAATGTGAAATATTTGAATTGTGAAATATCTGCATTACATCTTGATTTGAAGCCTGAGAAATACTGTTAGATGCCCAGGAAAAATGTTTGTTACATGATTCTATGAATGAGAAAGGATAATCTTTCTTCTAGGATGAAAATCTATCTCACAGTCTGTGACAGAGTTGGGCTCCTTTTGACTTCCTCCCTGGGCAGAAACTGTGTGGATCAGTTCAGTCACTGAAGCTCAATGCCTTACTCTGTGTAGTCAGACCCCCATGATTTGTGTCATTTGTGTCATTTACCCAAATAGCTCTAATTTCTCCAGTTGTTCTCAGAGAGGTCAGTGCATGTAAATATCCATGATGTTTGTTTACAAATAGCAAGTGCTTTTTTCTGACTTTGTTCACTAGAGATCTACGTCAGATCAACAGCATCCAGAGTGCTCTGGCTGCAGGAAATCTTGTCTTGAAGTAGTAAAAAATGGAAACTGAGAAGTCTGTACAGTAAACCAAGGAGCAAATGCCATGTTAGTGGGAAAGTAGGAGGTGCATAACTTCCTTTTTGCAGGGTAGTCATATTTTAGTGAGAGACCTCTATATCCATATACTTTCACATATGAGGTAAAAAGTATTTAAGTACTTTTTAGTATTTTAAGTATTTAAAAATACATTATTTAATGTATTTGAAAACAAACTGAAAGCAAGTCCTGAGGTGCTGATACCATAAAACCTACTTGGCTCTTAAATGTGAGCTCACATGCTGATTTGTGAAAATATCAGAACACTAGGGTGCAGGTCAGCTAATATGTTAATTTTAAAAACAGTAGCCCTGATAATTATCCTCACTAATCCTTTATGTGTGTGAGAAGACTTGTTTTGGAAACTGTGAGACAGCTAGTGAATTAAATGCTGTTCTTCTATATAGGAAGGGGAGTGGTACAGATTGCAAAATTTCTGTTTTGCACAGTTATCAGTCTGAGAAATTCTGCCTTTAGTTTTTGCCTTGGGCTGAGTTAATATTTCCATGCAAAACATGCTTAGAAGAGGTTAAGGGAAAAGTGTGTTGAATTGTCTTTGTTTAAAAAACATAACAAAACCCCTTTGTGATGATTGCAGACAGCCCAGCAGATGTGTTTTCTGAGTGATGTAATAGCAAGAAAGGTCAGCATGTGTTTGACTTCCATTCACAAAAGTATCTTAGGAAAGGGAAATCACAATCTTTATATAATATAGGTGTATTGTTCCTGATATACTGGAGTCAGTTCCAGCTTCCTTTCTCCTAGACATTGATATACATTTCCTTTTCATAAAGTTCTGTAAAGAGTACAGGAGAGAAACAGGAAAAAGAAAATAAAAACTCAGAATTACTGTGTTAGAAAGTAGAAGAATTATTTTTCAGTAGTTCAGTAAGAGTTTGGTCCAGTGAAATAATAGCTGAGGCAATTTTGGCCATGCACAGAACAGAAGAGACTTCACTGGTAAGAACTTGGGGAACTCTGAAGTTGGTCAGAAATTTTGATTACTTACCTGTCCAAAGCGGCTTTGTGGCACTAATCAATGGAGCATTTTCAGAGGATTAATATCAAGGAATATGACAAAAACTGAAAGGAAATACAAGAGTAAGGGAAACAGTTACAACAGTGAAGGAGTAGCAAGTCAGTTGACTGGTGAGGTACCTTGATGAATTTGGTAAGACCCTTGTGTCCTCTGACAAATTGAGGAAAGGAAGAATATGTGGAATGTAAAATGCTGATGTCAAAGTCAGAGCTTGAGTGGATCCATGTACTGCTCTAGCTTGTTTGAAGAGTGGATTTCTGGCATGTGATTGCCACTTCAAGTAGACATTGTGAGAGGTATTGCTGTGAAAAATAAACAGTGGTATTGAGCTGTTAGGGAGAGGAGCAGTGCTACTGAAACAGAGATAAAATACTGTTGTCTTTGCAGTGTCACATAATACTCATCACCAGAAATGTGTTGACATTGCTTTCAGTCTTATTTGTGTATCTCATGCCAGGACCTCAGCATCACCCCCTGTATAGCTGTAGGAAGAGCTCTGTCAGCTCTTTGGCTTGAAGAATTTGATGCATGTGGGAGAAAAAATGAGTATGCATGCACAGTGCAGGACATTCCTAGTTACACATTGTTTAGAAGAGCAGGCCTGAGTGTCTCATCTTATTTTCAAGTGATAAGGAATGTGCTAAACTTTTGAGTTCTGCAGGTACCATTTTACTCCTCCACAGTGCTGGGTTATGTACCATGTGATGGAAAAAATGTTTGTGCTCCACTGCACTAATGAACCAAGTCCTGCTGTTCCCAGGGCTGTGCTGGCAGCTCTGTTGAAGGCATCAATGGTGCTGCTAAGCAAGAGAGGAAGCTGTCAACAAAAGCGCTTGCTCGGTTCAGCTTGACTGAAAGCATAAAGGGAGGCAAGACTACTACAAACTTTGAAAAGACTTTCTGAGGAAATAAACTGTATGTTAATAGGTTATCTCATATGAAGACCTGAGTGCACCAACTAATTACAATTTTTTAAAGTACTAAATATTTAAAATATTTATAAATTAATAATAGGAAGCCTATTCTTATAAATCATTGTAAAATAATTTTGCTTCCTTCATTGTGTTTTGTGGAAACAAACCACAGAAAGATAAAATGAACATTATTTTAAAACTTTTCCTATAAAATAGATATTTTTTTAAAACTTCTTCTATTCGCTCAAATTTAATCAGATAGGAAGATAACTAATTTTTAAAATTAATTTAAAAATAAAAAAACTAATAACAAAATGCACTACTGGAAATAATGTCATTTTTCATTGAAGTTTTAGAAATATTTTATGGGAATGAGAGACCTTACTTTGATGCAGCTAAACAGCCTGATATATGCATTTCAAGATACTGTTCAACACTGGTGTATAAACTATGGCATGTAACTTTTGGAGAAACATAAGTTACAAAGAGTATTAAAAATATTGGCATATTTTTATGGCATAACACAATGGCATAACACATATATATTAGTATAAAATCTGTCTCCGGTTTTTTTAAAATACTTATCTAATATGCAAATATCAGACGTCTTATATACAACATAAATACATGACATCTAATTTCCAGAAGCTCCTGTATTAATTTCTATCTTGATCTTCTCAGATTTTGTAGACACATCTCTTTCCTGAAAGAGCTGTACCTGCAATTCATATCTTCATGAGACATGCCTTGAGATTCTGTTGGCAAAAGTTTTATCTTGGCTTCTATTTCTTGCTTCTTTTCTCTTTTGCCAGGAAAAAATAAACTTATTCTAATCATTAACTAGCAAAGGATTTTATAGCATCAAACAAAGCTATTCCTTATCTCTTTTGCATGTGGTGTGACTAAGTGCTTGGATAGTGCCAGTTATTGAAACTACTCACATAAGCACATCTTGAATCTGCAGGTGTTTACACAAGTCAGATAGAGATAATGCTTCTTTTCCCTTAGATTTTAGAAGCAATGGACATTGGATCAGACAGATAACATGAAATAGCCAGTGTCAAACATGAAGTCTGTGCAGGCAGATATTGAACAGGGTCTGCTGAGGTCTGGAGAGAGAGGCAGGAAGAGTATTAAGTTTTCTTCAAAGTGGGATTTTGTTAGTGTTAAACCACTTGTGAGCTAGACACAGACTTGATAAGTACTTTTGGATGATAAAAGTCTTGGTCAGCAAAATGAAGTTGTGATCTTACTTTTAGCCAGCAGCCTGTGGTTAAAGCATTTACAGAAGTACGTTGCATTATCAGGCTTAAACCCTTGCCTTGCTTGAGTGGATTTTTACCCATGCTTTCCACTCTCAAGAGATTTCCCTGGCTGCCACAAAATGAAAGGAGATGCACAAGGCTTAATTTGTCCTTCTGCTGCCATTCCACTTTGTATAATTAATGAGTCATTCACTGAGGCAGGGTCTAGAACACAGCTGACACATCCTTTGAATAGTGTTCTAATTACTAGACCAGAGAGTGTCCCCCTCACCCCTTTTTTCTCCTCATCTATCTCAGATGCTGACTGATCTAGAAGACATCAGTGTTTGCAGTAGGAAATAAAAAAGCACCAGAGAATAGCCTTATCACATGACTAGGGTCATAGGGTAGAGTGACAGCTTTGGATCTTTCCTGGGCTGATACATCAAGTGGGATTTCAGGCTTTTTTTTCAAGAAATTGTGGTAGAGATGAGGCTTCTATCTCACCTTCTTTGTATGTCCAATCCTATGGAACTCTTAAACTGGATTGTCAAATGTTGTGTTAACACACACACACCAACAGAAAATGGTTTTGTGAGAACTGAGTTTTTTAGGTATGTATGTTGAATCAGATATCCATTACTCAGTTGGCATTTATAACATTGATAGTATTGAAAGCACTTTCTTACATTGATGGAAAATATTAATAAGGCCTAATGCTTAGTCATCTCAGGAGTTTCATGGAACTTCAGGGCATAAAGGTCCAGATTTAAGAAAAAAAAGAAGCACATTACATGTTTGAAATTTAATTTGAGCAAAATGTAAATGAGTCCACAGCTGAGATCCTGAAAATCCTTGTTTTCCTGTTGTTTCAGTATCAGCTATGCTTTATACATAAATTAATGTATGCTTCGAATGTATTTAAGAGAAAGACTTGTCAAGTTCTGTGAACTTTTGCTTTATATTATTGGTTTTTTCAGTGTGAAAATATAACTAGAAAAGATAGTTTTTTGCTCAGCATGTCTTCTCCTTGCCCAAACTCATAGTCCTTATCCTTAGGAATAATGTAGCAGAATTATCCTGGGTTTTCCCTAAGAATGGTGCTATGTACAGATTGTTGTTAAACTTTTGCAGTCAGCATCCCTTGCTCAGTGAAAATTGTGACACACACGTGTGCAGCTTCACTCTCTGAAGGCTCTGCACTGCCTGCAGTGCTTGCAGCAATCAGAGTAAGGGCAGACTCCAGTTTAGAATTGAATTTGGGGGTAGTGTGGTTGCTAAAGAATGGAACTTTTCCAAAAGTTTGTTTATTACTAATAGTACATATGAGTCATAGAGAACACGGTGACTCTGACATTACTGGGAGAGATTGCAGGCTAATAACTGGAAGCACTCTTCTCAATGCAAACTAAAATAATGAAAATTATTTTGACAGCCTGAAACTAAATGTCACTTCTACAAAGATGCTTTCAGAAGAGAGCCACATCCTGAGAATGACTCAGTGAAGGTTGTATCTCACAGATGACAGAAATTTTGAGAATTACTCCAGAACTGAGGCTTTTCATTACTGTTTTTGCTACTGTGATTGGTGAAGCAGGAAATTTTGTGCCTCCGTTCTCTAAGCAAATAATAGAAGATGCACTTGTTTTCAGGAGGGAAAGGAAAAAAATTGTACTAAAGTGCTTGCCTAAAGATCTATTTACTTTGGTCTCATCAATCAAAATTTCAGTAGTTACTGAGTTCAAAACAGTGTCAGAAAAGTAAATAACTTTTCTGCAGCTTGTGCAGGAAGAAGGCTTTTCAATGAAGAAATGGTGCTTTTTGAAATATTGTGTCTCAATGTAAAACCCAGTTACTTTTAACAGATTTTTATATTATTAATAAATCATAATGTATAGAAATGTCATCTTTGAGACTATATGCAGTGAGCACTTACAATATATAAACTAATGCGAAAACATTAAAATTATTATTGATGTACTTAACATGTCAATTTGTATGTATAAAAGAGAAAGCAACAACTGTTTCAAGAAGCCTATGTTGCTGGTTCTTAAATTTGGGGATAAATTATCTCCTAGTCCTTGGTTCAAAGAGATGGCAATTGAGAGTGACCATAGCAGTAGGTGGAAGCATGCAGTTCTTACCAGAACCTCTCTGAATAACTGATTGTGCCACATACACATGTGTAATTTAATTTAGATCTGCTAAATGCAGTCCAAAGAAAACACTGTGGGTTTTATAATTAGAGGAAAAAGTAAGAAAAGTGAAGGTATGGCACAAGACCAAGTTTTAATTTCTTCTTTTTTTTGGTCTTAATTTCCATCTTAATTGAAGCATTTGGTAGTAGGATGGTCCATTCCATCAAAATGATCTTAGAGAGTGAACTGCAGTCATTACAGCCTACAGTAAAAATCTTCCTGATGAGTTTGCACATGAAGGATGATTCTGTCCTAGTTAGAAATTGATTCATCTTGAAATAGGTTGGCTGTGAGCTCCTTCTGGGTTGGAGACAGTTTTATCAGCCATGGGTTTCTGACTGTATTTCCTCTGGAAAGGAACGCACTTGAATCAGAACAGCAATGTGGTATTCCTGAATTATCATTTAATCTAGATAAAATTTATTCTGTTGGCAGTTATATAAGTACTTGGGTTTGGATTTTCTCCTTAATGTTGTTCTAGCCTTACAAATTTACCCTGGAAGCTAAAAGTAATCATACAGAAATCACAGTGTAGCTTGAAGTGGCAACTTGCAGAAATTCAAGCAGTGGACTTTTCAGAACTGTTTTAAAGCAAAGGTCACCATTTGGTTATGTCTAACCTTTCTTCTTTTTTTCCTGAAGATGGGACATGGAACACAGAACCTCAGAAGATAGTTAAATTGGGTGTTCTGCCTGTTAGAAGTCTGCTTGTGATGGAGGAGACCATTTGGGCTGCATGTGGTGGACAAATTTTTATAATCAGCACTGTGACGCATTCCATAGAGGTAAACGCTTTTGAAAGCATTGCTCACCTATTATGCTTCAGGGTACAAGTGGTGAAATTGTAAAGATGAAAATGTGTTTAAGAAGCATCATGATTCAGGAGCTTTTTATTGAATGTGGTCTCAGTTCTTTTAAATCTCACTCTTTGAAAATATGAAAATACAGTGTATATAAATAAACTCACTTCTTCTCCCCTTGCATCACCCTGGATGTTTTCAAGCTGCCTGTGCTCAGGATCAAGATATGATCTTTCTGGAGAATACCTTGGGCTCTCTGTCCTGGTTTTGCTGCTGCTGTTGTCAGTGCTCTGCCCAGCCCCTGTGTGTGTGCAGTCCTTTCCAGGCAGGAGCTAAAATGGCTCACAGTGCCACCAGGATTTCAGCACCCCCAAAAAGATCCATGGGAATTGAGTATTCTTTTGGGACAGGCTGCACTTGTGGTGAGCCCAAAATACTGACTTAATTTGTAATTCTGCTGTTGTGTTCTCTGCTGGTGTCTCAGCAGACCTTGCTGCCATTTACCCCTGGTTTCCATAAGGTGCTTGGAAATGATAGAGTATTTGGGGCAAGAGATTTTATTAAAAATGAAATCTTAGGTAAGGCAGCAGAGAATTGGGTGCCTATAGGCACATTTCATGTTAATTACAGAAGAAGGTTTAACTAAGAGACTGCCTCTATATAGTCAGATGTTACTTGTACCTTGTAATAATTTCATAATATATTTTTTCAGAGTTTTGCTTCTCAGTGGCCTACAAAAATTTTATTTGCATAAGAGCAGTTTCTGATGAATAGTCCCACAAAAGCCAGCTTTTTCAGAATGAGAGAAGAATCTTAAGGGTTCAAACTCACATTTGTGACCACATTTTCCAGAAAATGTTAAGCCTTTATTTCTATCAAAATTACAGCTTTCACCAAAAGAGTATCTTAGTAGTCCAAAGTTAAGAGTTGATGAATCATCAGGAGTTCAACATCTCCTTCAACCTACAATAGAGTGTCACTGAATTGCATGATGTTTACAGCCATGAAGTTTTTTCAAACAGGAGTCATGATGAGCTCACAGCCTCCTTCTTTGTGTGCTTTGTTGCTGCATTTTTTTCTTTGATGGTCGTGTTTTCTCCCAACAATTGTCTGTTTGGTACAATTGATTCTGTGAGTCACTGTCATGGGTTTGCAGGGAAATAGCTAACATCCTAATTTCCTCTGTCTTTTTCTGTGTTTTCTGAGAGATTTGTTTCATCTAATAAGATGCTTGGATTGTATATTCTCCTACTTTGCTTTTCTTTCAGTCTTGTTTTGTAGGTAGTTTGAATGGTATGATTAGGGAAAGATTTTGGATGAGTGATGTAGATAGGTGCTTGAAATGGACTTTTGTTAGTTTCACAGCCTCTGGGACTGTGTGAAGCTGGATACATACAGCCAGATCTCTAAGTAGGTTTGGCAAGTCTGGCCTAATTCTGTAACACCCCTCTCCCTAAGTCTGGTGATATGGCTGCAGTTTGGGCTATGCTGGGCTGTTCTGGCAGAGGAGAACAAACCCAGAGTTAAACAAACTTTGAGGATTAAAGAATGTTTAAAGCTTACTCTGTCATAATATAGTAAAATGCCATGGACTGCAGTGTTGAAAACAGAAGTTTGGAGACATAAAATAACAAGTACTCTACCAAAATCTCTCAGACATGGCAGTTTCACTTTTCAGCTGTTACTACAGATTTTCCTACAAAAGCATCACAGGAGGTTTCTTCTCATTTCTCAACTAAGCCATCTGTTGTATTCAGAGCTCAGGTTATTATGGGTCTATTGCACACACAAAAAGTGCTGCAGCAAGTGACATATAAGAAATGGTGCATATGGGTTGAGTAATATTTTTTCAATATAATTTTGTTCAAGAACATGATGATTTTCTGTATGTCTGGCTGTGGGTCATCTTTCTAATTTCACACAAATATCCATGTCATAGTGTGTCATGTTCCTCACAGAATTGGGAATGAGCAATCATTTTCTGTTGCTTCTTTATGGGTATTAAGACATACTGATCTTTTCCTCATCATCTCACCAGACCAAACAGGTCACTAATGTTTTCAGTGTTGCTGCCTACTTAGTGACCTGACTTGTTTTGATAACCTTTCTAGGCTTAGGTTTCCAAAAGTGATCTGCTATGTTGTCCTTCCCATATTCACTGGCAATATTGTTTCAATATTATACAATATATGAGGCAATTTAAACTCTGTCTATATCAAATATTTTAACATCTGAGCTGCCTCTTCCTTACTGTGAAGAGCAGAGTATTTGCTATGAGGGGAAGCAGGAGCAAGGAAATGTTTGTTCTCCCTCTGTGCTCTCTCTCATTGAAAGTTAGTTGTAATGATTTGACTCAAGATCTTTTGCATAAATGTGATCTTCGCTCTATCAGCAGGAATCCAAGTGTTGCAGGGGGCTCACCTTTTACTCTTCCCTCTTTACTGAACTCCTTTATATCTCCATATACATAATATGGAGATACTCCATGTATACTGCAATGCAGCTGCTTGCTACTTCATTGCTACTGTCATGCATGCATACTATGTGCTCTGCATCATGTACATTATCTGTAAAGGCATCTGGCAAGATTTTAAGGCCATGTTTGTGCAAATCCATCAGCATATTCAAGTCTGTTTTTTAAACTTGTCCTTGTGAGGCTTAGCTTCACAGGTATCTCATAATTAACTGTCTGTGTATTTGCTAAGTGCAAAGTACACTATCCTGGAAGAAAATCTCATTCCATGCCTCCTTGCTTTGCTAAGATTTTTATTTAAGATTTTTTCTTTCTTAAATATTTTTTAGTAAATGAGCAGGTTTGGCATTGTGTGTTGGATTTGGATATTACTCACTTGAGCTTTTCTCCCCCCTCTAATATGGGTAAGACTCACAATTAACTTGTTCTAATGATATGCTATTGTAATAGAATGTTTTAGGTAATGTCTTTTATTGGCACAATGCCCCAAACTGGCACAATGCCTCAAGATCCTTGGCAGGGCACACATGAGAAATGCATCAATTGCTGTTATATATTAATTACATACTCTGATCCTCTTTCTGTGAAGAAGAAATTTGTCACTTAGTTTTGACAGCTGTATTGCTGTTGGGTACAGACCTACATCCAATAATGGTCTCTGTGCCTGGAGCTCCTTGGATTCTGCAAAGGCAGTTTGTGCTTGGTTCAAAACTTCAAAAAGTGCCAGATGATTTAATAGAATAAAGTCACTGGTTGAGTGGGATTCTATCCTAGTCTGTTTTGCCTTGTTTTTAAAACTTTGATGTCTATACAGGGGTTACACTGAAATGTTCAGCTGAGTGAACAAAAATATGGAAATCCCTATACATGAATGTGCGTTGCCCAAGTGTTGTAACTGCTTTAAAGCAGTGAAAGACATTTGTTTGAGGTTGAGGGTAATGGCACCCATTATCCTCTTCACCTGAAGCTGGAGAAATCATGGTTCATCTCTTGGTGCAGCTGTTAGGTGTAAGTGAGCAGTCCCTCAAAGGAAGGGCTCTGCTGTGTCCCACACTGCTGGAGCACTGCTGAGCTGCACTGGGCTGTGGCATCCACAGTGCCTTCTGCAGCCTCTGTGCTGCTGTAGTTGGAATGGGAGAGCCTGAGGGGGGAAAGCCAGGCAAGAGGAATGTAGGTATGAAAACTAAAAGAGAAAAAGAAAATTAATTCAATTATTTTGATAACAAAAGGAATGAGAATCTTTTTTTCCTTTGTGTCTGTATTTCTTGTTATAAAAAGAAAATAAATTAGAAATAAAAGACCAGCTCACAGGTTTTCAGATAGATGTGTAATTGAAACAGATGTCAAAGCTATATTTTATGCAAAAATTTATGCATAAGAAGGTGCAGTTTGGGGTATGTTCTTGCTCCATGTTAGAGGACCCTTTCAATGAGAAGAATAGTTCTTTCCACAGGTCTTGTCATGTTTGCAGTATACAATTTTGATTCAAGTGGGTCTGTGTGTTCCAGCAGCCAGCTGTACAAATGGCAGGACAGACTTAGTGGGAGTATAATGAGTTGGCTAGTAAAAATGGAATGTGACAAAAATGCATGTGCAAGTTGTTTTCAGTGGCACCAAATAGTTGTCAGCTGTGGTTGGATTACTCCAGAGAAAATGATTTTTTTACAATCTTCTTCATTTTTCTTCTAATTTCAGAGAGTGCAAGTTGCTGGTCAGGTTTGCTTCAGCAGCTGTGGGTCTGTCCCCTAGAAGTTCTCAAAAGCGAACTAGTCACCAGTGTAGGGATGTATGAGTCTATAAACAAAGTAAATAGTTTAGAATCTTTTTTTCAATGGAACATGCATGATCAGAATGTCAGCATATCTAGTCATAAGGGCTGTTGCTGACTTTAAAGATGTTTTTTATGGATAAATTCTTCTGTTGAATAAATCTTATGATTTTCAAATTGTGTATATCATTTGGTAATGAATGAATACTGGTTACTTGAGGAAAACAGTGAATATAAATGTGTCTGCCAGAGTAGCTTACCTTACATTCTGCAGTGTTATTATTCAAAGAATCAAAAGGTAATACAGTAACACTCAAAAACTGAACCACTGCCTGACAGCTGGAGAGAAAACTCTGTTCATTTACTAAAACTGAACATTTGGAGAATAATGTTAACAAATGAAAAGCACAAAAGATAATTCTCATCCTCTTTAAACAGCAAATTTCTCAGTGAAAATAATAATTTATGCAGTAACAAAGTATAAAAAAAAAAAAGTGCTTAGTAAACATAATACCAAAAGCTTTTCTTTGTGGAAATCTTCTTTGTCTCTGATCTTAGCCTGTTAGTTGAGTTTTGATGGAAAACTTCAACAATATATCTATAACCTTATTATATTTAGATATTAATGAAAAAAAAGCCAAAATGTAACTTAATTGTAACACCTGGAAACTTAAGTATATTTCACAAGGAAGGAGGAGGTACTTCTGCATTTTATCTGCAAATGTAATAAAGAATATATAATACATTAAGTGAATATTAGAGCACTTATTACTTCCATACCCCTCAGTGAGAGATTTTTATCCAAGGAACAGTTTGTCATTTATTTAGCTAAGTTAGTTTTATGTTTATCAGACTGGCTCTCTGATAATAGCTGGCACAACAATAAAAGGCTATGTTCAACTTCAGAGACAGTCTTCTTACTAGACCAAACTGGGGGGAAAACAATCCCTCCTTCTTGTTAGTGATTAAGAAACTTTACTACAGCTTTATCTCACATGTTAATAGAGACATACAGAGAGGGAGATTTCTGCCTTCCTGGAGCCAGGCTGTAACTGATCAAGATCAAGGAAAAAAGTCTATCTTCAAAGTGTTATGTTACTTACATTTAGATAGAGGATTTTGGCTGTTATAATGAGAAGCATCAATTCTTTGAAGGATAGGAAAACAATATAGCTAATACTTGTGAAATTCAGAAGCATTAAAAACCAAACTGCAATATTAAGGCTGACATTGTTATGTATGTAATTGAGCAAATTGTGTGTTTAAATTCTTAAACACTCTACTTTCTAAATATGACTTTTTATTACATTGTTATTCTTGCTATGAAAGGACCCACAGCAGAACAAAAGAAAAGTATTTTTTTATTGTTGAAATAGAAGTTCTGCTCTAGATAAAAGTGCAGCTGTGGTAGTTTTCCCAAAGGAGTATAAATAAAGAAATATGAAATCCTTTTAACTCTCAGCTGTTTTGGGCTTGCCGGCCCCTATCATGCAATATATTTATAAACCAGAAAATCTGAGTTAATCTGTTGTTAGGTGGAACCCTGGCTCAAGACCTAAGAATCCTTCTATTACTAATGATGATATATTTCCAAAACACATCATACACAGCTATCAGAACATATCCTGAGCAAGGCAGAGGAAGCTTTGTCCTTGTCATAGAGGATGAAGATACAGTGCTTACACTGAAAAGCTGGTAAGAAAGCTGAGTAATATCCTTGACTTGCATCTCCCCACAGAACCCTTGTTTTTCTTGCAGAACCACTTTGAAGCCCATCAAGAGGAAGGGATGGTAATCTCTCACATGGCTGTGGCTGGAGTGGGAGTCTGGATTGCCTTCACATCTGGATCTACCCTTCGACTGTTCCACACGGAGACACTGAAACACCTCCAGGATGTCAACATTGCCACACCTGTTCACAATATGTTGCCAGGTAGCTGAATTGCATCATATGGTAACATTTTTTGTTATATCACTGTTGTTCTTCAATGCTCTAGATAAGGCCAGAATCAGAAGGTTCATCTCAGACTTTGAGTCTGGTAAGTGTCTCCTGACTGTTTACTTTAATAAGTCATAGTCCATCTGCTGCCCAGGTGAACAATGTGTGCAGTGAGCTGGTTGAGTAACAGCAGGTTGAGATAAGCAGGTGGATTCCTCTGTTTGGTCATATTTTTTGTGGGACTGTGAAACAGCTGGACAATGTAATCTGTCACGAAATTGTGTTTACTCTGCAGAGATTAGCATTTGCTTTTGGAACCTTAGAATCTAGTACATGATGGAATCATTTTGCCTAGTATCTGGACCAAAAAACCACTTTTAGTTACATCAGTAGATCCAGGGAACTCAGCTGAACCACTCACATGCTGCCATTTTGGAGTGTGTTCAGTGTTTTGCTGACCCAAGCTCTAATTTGGTGAATTAAGTGATTAGTTTTAAGTCTAACCTGTGGTTGTTAGGATAAAATTTTAAAAATTAAAACTCTTTACGTGTTTTAAGACAGAAGCTGTTCAATAAGCAGTTGAAATGACTTGTATCAGTTTAGCAAGTGGATGACAAAGGCTTCAGCATCAGCAAGCACATCAGGTGGGAGCTGGGGCTGTGCTGGGAGGAGAGAGACAGAAAAGTGGTACTGGCATGGCTGAACATGAGGTATCCATGAGTGGACAGCCATTCTTTCTGTCTCTCCCTGTTTGTAGACTGGAATAGACCAAACTTCCGCAGTTTTTATGGGCAATGTGTGCGCCAGCTTTATTGCTTAGTTTTTCCAGCTGAAGCCAGTTCTTCCCACACAGAGATTATATTTATATTCTCACAGGAGTTAGGCATAAATCTTGCATCAAAAATATTTCACTTTTTCAGTGTCTTCTTCTTACCATGTTTTCTTTCAGATGGCATTAGCTTTGCAATAAAACTCCATTATAAATTTTGTCTGTTTGCCATGTTCCAGATAGGGTGCTTTTTACATGTGGTGTTTGACCATAGCTCCAGCACTGAACAGCAGCAAATCATCTGCCTTTAAATAGATAATTTGATTGAATTAATCAGAATTGTGCAAATAAATCAAGATCAATTGTAAAAGGATTCACTTTTAGTATGCTCTGCTTTTCATAGCAAGGGGGAAAAGGGAAGTAAGACCCCCCTTATACATATTTTCTGCATATAAATATATTCAAAAATTTAGCTTTATGTTCATTGCCATGGCAATAAAACTGCTGATATAACATACCATTATTTTTGTCAAGACTTTTAGCTAATTATAGCTCCTTGGTGTCATTCCTACCCATTTTAATTCCTTTTTTTTTCTCAGTGTCTTCACAGAAAGCACACCAGTGAATGGAAATGGAAGGCTATTTTGGGAGTAGGACATTATTATAGCAAATGTTCAAAGGGAAACTCCTTTCCAAAAATGAACTGAATTTCAATTATTTAGCAGCAGCTCTCAGGCCTGTTTATATGATCTCAAAAATGCTGCAACAACAAAACCTAAAAGACAGAGTTGTAGGAGGTTTACATAATAAAGCAGCAGTTTCAGAATTAAAAGGAGCTAAAGAATCAGGTTCTGTATAGTATATATTAAGATAAAAAAGGATAAAAAACCCACCAAAGTGAAACTGAATTACAACAAGATGAAATAGCTGTATATTTACAAGGTATGTATTTGCCTTCATGAGAGATTTTTATGAGATCTAGTTTTAAAGTAAACAGCTCTGTCAGCTTTCTGAAATTCAATAGAAGTTCCTTAATATGCAGAAATAAAAGATAAGTAAAAATTTAAGTAGTGGTGAAATGAGAGAATAAATTTTTGCAAAAATATTACTAAGAGTCTTTAGAAGAGAGATATAAAAGGGCAAGATCTCAGTATAACTTCGAAGAAGCTGGGCTTATTTTCCCTGGATGTTAGAAGAAACAAGATGTATTCTGGCCCAATAGGCTACCTAGAGATGTCTTCACTTAAAAGTAATGTAAATAAGAGGAACGTTGCTTCAGTAAGCTAATGAAATTTTTTTGTTGTTATACTGTACAAATAAAAGAAAATATTACTGTCACTGTTAGGAATGATTACTGTGAGTTACAGTACTGAAAAGATAACCACAGTAACTAAGCAGAGTAGGAGGGTCTCATAACCTTAATAATGAGTTCTCATAGCAGTAGATTTCCCCAATTTTGTTCTTAGGAGAAGAGAGGTTTAAATATCACAGCTCTCTGTCTTGTGAAGGACAGAATCACAGGGGAGTGAAATGGCACAGAAGGCAATTGTCCTTATGATTTGGAGAAGTTTAGTAATGCAAAAAACAGACTGTGTCTGGCAGATTCTTTACCTGCTGGAGGTAATTTTAAATGTCTGGCAGTCCACTTCTGAGTTTTGGAGATTGGAGGGCTCTCACTTTCTGGAGCTGTGGAAAGTTTGTGTGTAGGAATGCAGGACTGGAAATGAAACCAGGATCACAGAGGTGACTGGGGGATAAACATTTGGTCTAGATGGGTCTGCACTACCTCTACTTCAAATATCATAAAAAATATTTCTTAATAATGTATAACAAATTTGTGTTCTGTAACAAAAGATCAAATGCCATGTGAGAAAGGAAGAGAGTGGTTGAGAGGAAGAGCATAGTCATTGTTATAGATCCAGCTAGCTGTGTATTTCACTATCTGGTTCACTGTGGATTCACACTACAGCTGGATTGCTTTTAAGGAGCCCAAATACAGCTCTGTTATCTTAACAGAGGGCATGCTGAGCAGCAGAGAAATCTATTAACATTTGAAAACAAATATTCACACTTCACTAGTGCAAGATATGTCATTTGTAGAGCAAGTTTATGCTTAAATTTTGTGATCTGTAGCTGAAGGATCAACAAAGTCAGTTTTTCACCAGCCTTTGTCAGAGCTCACATCAAAAAAATCATACTGTACATGAACAGACCACTTGTTTTTTTCATAGTCACAGTCAGTATTTTATTAAAGAACATCCTTAAAAAGTTTTTGCCCTCAGCTCTACAAGAATTTGCCCTTTTAAAGAGACTACTGTAATTACTGTGACCTTGATACTTCATTGCTCATATGGATGATCACAAGTTACCTGTTTAACATAGAGATGATTTCTGCTTAACTTGCCATATTCTGTTTATATCCATATATCCTCTAATGGCATGAGTGTTTCCTGGAAACAGATGGCAAAAGCAAAGGGAAAAGAGTATCATTTCCTCTCTACAAAAAAACAACTATAATATGAGGCTTTACAGCTTGCTTTTTTCCCCACCCTGCCAGGTGCCAGAGCATGAAATGCAGTTGCTTTATGATTACTGTTGGGAAATGATAAAAAGATGAGAAAACTTGAGGTCAGCCCAGCAGATCTGTACAGTGGGCTGGTTTTTTACATTGTAGGAGCAGCATGGCCATGGAGCAATGTCCTCACACCTAATTGGAGTTGAATTCAGATCTGTAAGGATTTATCCAGCTCTGGTTGTTGTAATGGAGACCTGAGAAGGGTGAACACAGAGCAGACCATACACTTAATTACTGGCTTCAGTTCTTGGAAAGTCAAGATCTTGGTCAGATTAATTTAGAGGTTTTAACAGCTTTTTCCTCATTTGGACAGTGTGATCTAAAGTTGCTATATAAAGATGAGTATTTTATTGGTTTTGTAATATGTTTATCATTTTCCCTTCTTGACTTGCTAATTTGTCTGCTTATTGCATAATATTTTCTGGGGAATTGGATTGACTATTTTCCTCTGAATTTGAAATATATCAAAACAAAAAGTCAGAAAATAACAAAGATAAATATGATTTCAAACCTTGGCTAGCAGATAAATTAATATTTTAAGTTAGCATTTTTTAAACGTATACATACATATGTATGTGTGTGTATATATATATATATATATATAATTTATTTTATGTTATTTAAAGTATCTTCTCAGATGCAGATGTTTCCTTCTCCAAGATTTCACAGCAAGCAATTTTTATTTTAACCCCACTGTAGCTGTTTCATGCTTTAGGTTGTGGTCAATGTTTAAGATGCTAAGTTGCTGGCTGATAATTTGTTGGTTTTACCTATGGAAACAGTAACATATATTTGCCAGGGGAAAATTACTGTCTAAAAGTTGTTTTAGGCTTGGAGTATGAAATCATGAATATAATGTTATCTTTTAAATGCTTAAAAAGCATTAAAGTTCTAAAAATAGGAACATCTTGCTTCTGCAGGGGATTGAGAGGCACCAGTGCACTTGGAGCTTTTGATAATATTAAAAGTTAAACATTGTACTCAAGTATTTGTGTAGTTTGTAGAACAAACTCTAAGTTAAGCTAAGCTTGTACCTTAGCTTGCACTTGCTGTGGTACAGGTGGTAGGAAAGGACTCACATGTCATAAAAAAATTGAGCAAGCCTGAACTCTAAATCACAGAATTCAAATACTGATTTTTGAAAACTCCAGAACACAGAGGTGTTTGGGCATTATTCTGAAACTTCTTTTGTGCTGAAGGAGTGCCTTATTGTGCTTTGTTTTGGAAACTAAATTAATCCCATTAATATCTCAAAAAAGCCAAAACAAAAAAAAAAACCCTAACACCAAATCCAACTAAAAACAAACCCATTGAAAAGGCAAAAAATACTCAAAAGATTTGTAATTTGTGTACAACATAGACTATCCTTGGTTATTTAGCTGATGAGGGATGATGCATCCTTCCAATATAAACATGTATAGTTCATGGAACTCAATGTAGTAGTTCCTGAAGGTCTGCACAAGTAGGTGAAGCCTTTTAGACTTGTCCTTGATACACCTGACTGGGATGACCTAATCATTGTGCCTTTAGGGTGGTTTAGGATGTACTTTTTCTACTCCAAGGTAGAGAGACCTTGGATTCCAGATCTGACCTTATGTGAGTTTCTTAAAACACACCATTGCTGGGTTAATATTTGGTTTTGTAAAGTTCTGTGAGGAAAGACTTGGACTGTGGTCTGCCTCCAGTTTTCCCATCAAGTGCTTTAGGTGACTGTCAAGCTGCTCCTTCCCTGCTTTCCCAGTGAGTCTGTAATTCATATATTCCTGGATGTAAATGAGCTCAGCTCCAAGGGACAAGACAGAAAATGCATTCATTTGTGAAACACCATAATTAAGATCCTTCTCCAAAGTGTTGAACATGAGGGTTCACTCAAGTTAAGTCAAACGTGGAATTCAAATTCTAGACCTACTGATGAAGTGATTCACAGTTTGAGAACTATGATGAAGATGGAATGACTGCTCTCTTACATGTAGAGTTAATAATAAATGCCAGAATGTATATGCTTTGGACCTGAAACTCCTTGAGCTTCGAGCAGAATTTAAATGCTCTGCCCCATGATCTTGGGCAAAAGTTTGGGCAGACCATAGTTTCCGTTTCTGAAGCTTGTCATGGACATTTTGAAAATCCATTTAAATGGAATCAAAGATATTTTTAGTCAGCATTGCAAGCAAAAATTACTTTGTTTTCACTAGAAAAATAGCAATCCTGTAAATAGTGTTGTAGAAAACCATAGAATCATGGAGTAATTTTGATTGGAATTTACTCTGGAGGCAGTCTTGTTCATTCTTCATGAAGAAGGCCTGATTAGACCTGGTTGTTCAATGTCTTGTCCAGCCAAATCTTTAATACTTATGAATAGGATGGAGATCCCACTACCTCTCTCAGCAACCCATTGCAGTTTTTCACCACCTTTATGGTGATGCAGCTTTTCCCTGAATAGAATAAAATTTTCCCATGTTCTGAATTTGAGCATGTTGTGTCTTATCATATCATTGTGCACATGTGGACAGAGTCTGTCTGTCTTCTGTGCATCCTTCCATCAGGTAGATGCAGACAACACTTCCTTTAATATCTCCAGTCCCCTGTTCATCTTGTCTGGACTTCTTCCAATATGTCCATGCCATTCTTGTATGTGGGGACCCAAACTTAGACAGGTGGACGCAGCACTTCTGATAGAGTTTCACAGATTAAAAATTAGGAGAAAAAAATATTCATGAGCCACCTTGAGTCATGAGTATAGAGTGTTACTGAGTATTGTGAAGTGAAATGCTTTTCTGTTTTATTATTGGGAATATACAAACATAGCCTGTTCATAAAAGCATGTTTGTAGAGACAATCTGTGTCTACCTCTGGATGCTGTGGTTCAGAGATTTAGGGCAGAATGTTTCAGATGTTCAATAATATTTAAATTGTTGTGTATGTAAAGTGTAATTCCAGAATCCAACAAAGTCTTTGCCTTGCAATGAGTGTTTTGCTGAATTGAGATGGTTCAGCTGGTTGTGTTTGCCTGAAGTTGCTCTGATCTGGGCAAAGGTCACCACTGTTCAGTGACGGAGCTCTTGCTAAACCCCGCAGGGCAGCAGCGTGTCTCTGTGACCAGCCTCCTGGTGTGCCATGGCTTGCTGCTGGTTGGAACAAACCTGGGGATCATTGTAGCCTTACCAGTGCCACGCCTGCAGGGGATTCCCAAAGTAACTGGTGAGTGAAATTGCTCAAACAGATTGAGTACTGAAGATGTCACTTCTCTTCTGCCAGTAACTTAAGTGAACCGGCCAAATTATATGTATTGTTTAGATAAAAGTTAGAGCTGTGTGATGAAATTATATTTGTTTTTCTTTCTGAGCTTTACAGTGTTATCCAGATACTTGTCTAGTTTTGTCTCAGTTGTTTGAGAGGGGACAACTGTTTTTCTTTAAGAGATAGGCATTAATCCTGTCTGAGTACAGCCAAATACATGGGGATGAGAAGAGAATGCAGAGTCTTATTTCCAGATTTAGGGAAAATAGATGCATTAGGTTTAGAGACGTAGATACTTAAAAATGAGCATATTGTCTAACTGCTTTTTGAATAAATTAGTTGTGTTCCCTTTTCCCCCAAACTGGAAACTTGGAATATATGAGAGTATATATTTCATTTTTTTAACATTTTGCATTCTGGAGAGATGTGTTTATGAGTTACTTTCATATTACCCCATTTGAAATACAAGCACATGAATGCTGCTGTATCACTATACAAATGTTCAGGCTACTATTAGAAGCAAGGTTTTAAAAGTGTTTTTAATAGGGGCTTTTCCCCAATGTTTTGGATTCAGAATTCTGCTCAAGCTTCTGTGTTGAAGAGGGAAGCTGGCAGATTTTTATGAGGCAAGCTGTTTGCAGCTTCCTCCAGGGGGAAAAAAAAGCTTATGTAACTTCACAAAATGAAAATTAAATCCTCTGTGTTCAGCAAAATACGCAGCAATAATCTGGTGTGACACAGGATAAACGCTTTGTAAAAATCTGGAAACTATCTTAGGTGAAAATAAATACAATTACAAGAATATGCATAGTTGCAGAATCAAAAAGTCTCTCATTCTTCCATTTTCTGTTTTATTATTTTGGTTTATGTCATATATTCTTGCATTTATCTGGGATCAAAATTTCTAGAAACATTACATTTAGGGATCTGTTTTTATAGTCTTTGGTAACTGTGTTTTGAATTTTAAAACTGTGGCTTTTCCCCATTATGTTTCCAATAGCGATAATTCATCTTAATATGAATGTACTTCCTGTAAAAGCAGAATCTTTAAAATGTGAAATGTTTCCTTAAAATGTGAAATGCATTTGGGAGTTAGGGATGGATGTAGTGATTTTAGGATTTGTGGGCTTTCCCCCTTGCTAGCCTAGCTCTTTTTAATAGTGTTGCTTATTGATAGATTTTTTTTTTCTCTCTTTTTTTTTGCTGTAAAAGGCACATCTATTGATGCTGTTACAGCTTCTCAATTTGGCCATGTGCAATTTTTTTTCATACATTCTAAGTATATGCACTGTGTAAATCTTCCTTGTACCACCAATATCTGACTGATTAAATACTTAAAAAAAAAAAAAAAAGAAAAAGAAAAAATGATTGTTCTGTCAGTTCCTTATGAATCTATAATGGTAACTAGACAACCAGAAGGATGAGTTTTAGTTCCTGTTCTACAGTGTGGATGGGTCTGTTGCAATGAAAAAGGTGTTCTCATACTGTTCTGGAGAGGTACAGAGGTAGAACAGGATTAATCTGGGGTCCACAAAATGTGTGGGGATTACTGGAGAAAACATAGTGTTACATTTGTGTTGATTCCAGCTGAAAAGTCAGCAGTATTTCTGTGCTCATGCCATAGTGAGAACAGAGCACAAAAGTACATCATCTAAAGTTCATATGCCATATTTCAGCTGATTTATTAGTCCTAAGACACTTGTGTTAGAACATTATTTTTGTACTTTTTTTCCTGTAAATAGTGTCCACACAAGGCAATAGACTGGATGCATATAATAGGGCTTTAAGAGTAACGCTATTCTGAGCAAATTTCATGAACTAATTATGGTAGAACACTGTGGTCTGAGAAATAATGTTCTTTAATTGTGTCTTCTCTTTTGGCTCCAGGAAGAGGAATGGTGTCATACCATGCACACAATAGCCCAGTCAAGTTTCTTGTAACAGCTACATCTATAAACAAAAAGAACAGAAACAAACTGAGAAACAGCCTCCCTCCTGGCTCAGAACCTAGGGACGATGACCAAAAGAACATTCTGCACAGCGAACGGCCGGGCTCTTCCCTCAGTAACACCCAGGACACTGCAGTTTGGCTGGGGGATTCTGCAGGCTCCATTGCACAGAGAAGTGACTTGTCATCATCCTCTGGATCCCTGACTTTGTCTCATGGATCAGGTTCCCTAGAACACAGACCAGAGGACAGTAACATTTATGAGCTTCTGAAAGATCAAAATATCTCCTTTAAAAGTAAAAGACAGAAATCTAAGAAAATGAAAGCAAGTTCAGTATTAGTAATTTCTGGTGGCCAAGGACACAGAAGAGTGAACAAGAAGACCAAGCAGCAACGACAAGATGAACTAGTGTCTTCAGTGATGGTCTGGCAAATCCCACTATTAAATATCTAACTGAACTAAATCCAAGATTGTTTTTGGTATTAAAAAAAATGTGACATCCTTCTGTGGCTAATGCCAGCTTAGAACCCAAGCAGATAGGCTTTATATACCTGGGAGCAATTTCACTAGGCTTGGATCACAGGATCAAGGGTGCAAGACAGTCTTCACATACTTAGAACATTCTGCAGTGGTAGAGTATTGGAAAATGTTTGGCTATTGGTGCTGTCTTTGATACTCAGAAAAAAAGGAATGTTAGGGACTTTAAAATGGTTTTAGAATCTCTTACCTTATTTATACTCACATTTATAAATATCTTAATTATGTTCTATAGCACTTAGGGAAGGCAAGGAAGACATGCCGTGTCTCACGCTGGTTTCTGCCTGCATAAATCAGTTGTTCCTACTTTTTCCAAGGTGACATATTGCATGGAAGAGTAGATTTTAATAAATTAACAAATATTTTAAAATAATAAGTAGTCTAATGCGAGCTAGTACTAATTTGGCAAGAATTATAATAGTCTAAAACTTCATTCCACATACCAGAGTTTGGTTGGAACAAAACTGGCTAAATTAATTAATCAGTATTTGTTTATTTCAACATAGAACATAGATTTTTTTAATATTAATTTGTAATGCTCAGTGTTATTAGAAATGTTGCAGTACAAAAAGCACATTAATTTTCTTGGTAGGTGTGATGTGTATGCAACTTGGTTTTGTTATGTAGAAAGTTGCAAGGATACAATGGCTTTGGGCAAATAGAAAATACAGATCCAGGACAGCTATGCATTGTAGTGCTGCTAACATCCTCCCTCTGCAACTCAATATCAAAGCTAAAAATGGATTGTAACCTTTTTAAGGAGGCATGCACATCCAGTAAATTAATAATGAAGTTATTAATTAAGTCATTTATTGGGAAGATATATATACTAATATAGGAATAATTATAGGAAGTACTATCTATAGGTAATCACTACAAGTCCTAAATTAGCTGAGTTGTGCTGTGTCCCCAGGCAAGCATCTATCAAATACTGTCACGGTGCAACAGCCGAGATATGGTCATACCTGAGGGGCAAGCCCTTCTTTTCTCTCTGTCTCAGCAAAGCACAGGCCTGTAAATGGGAACTGGGAAAGTGGGGTGCACAGCTTCATTCCCTCAGATGGGCAAGTTGTCACTTTGGTACTGTTAAAAGGATGAAGTCTAAGTAGGGACCTGATCAATGTTTTATTCGTTAATTGATGTATTTCCAAAAGAAACTTTGAATTTGGGATTTGTACTGAAATTGCCTGTTGCACTAATCTCTGCACATGTGAAATACAAGACAAAGGCTTCAGCTCATAAAGACATTGCCAGAAATGGTGATGAGACACATCCTTCAGTCAAAATCTGTTTAATGCAGGTAACTTGTTGATAGAGTTGCTGGGAACATTCTTTTTCCTCATCAGTAGACTGAAATACAGAGAAATAAGAATGATTAAGTTTCCGTTTTGTGAAGAACTCTAATACTGTCCATAATTTCAGTAAAATACCATCTGAAGTAGAACATTTGTCAGATGTATCATTGACTAGAATAGAATAAAACTTCTGGCTACTTTGGTACCATTATTATCCCAGTAAGAGGGTGATTTGCCCTGAAATTGTTTTTGCCACTTCTAATTCAAATCCTTGATTCCACTGTTTTGTTTCAATCTGCCTGTTTTAAATCACTCTGAACCATAAGGGCAGTGTTTCCCAGCATGTGCCATTTCAAGTTAAACAGTACTAGAGACTGAGGTATTTTTGTTGGATATAGTAGTAGGGTTGGTGTTTTTAAAATAATGCTGAAATTTATTTTCTTAATTTTGCAACAGATCTGTGTACGTGTAAAATTTTCAGTCTTTTCTGCTTTAAAAGGCAAACCTCTATCAAGGTGACCCCAAAACTGGTGTGTAGGCTGGCTGAGCAAGTTTGACAGAGCACTGGACTAACATCAGGTCTTCCCTGATGCCTGACACCAGTGAGGGGGACAGAGGGAATGCTGGTGAAGGCAGTCTTTGCCTGCAAAGTGGCACCAAAACAGGCATTTCACAATCAGGTATGCATCCTGATTTCAGAGGCTTTGCCCACATCCTCCATTGAGCCATAATAGCATGGATTTCAATGAGTCACAAAGGATACTTGTTATAGATGGGATTGTAGGCTTAGGGTCTTCATTACTGTTTTGTGCTTTTCTTCCATGTCTTTTGCTATGTGTCTTGCAACTTCAGTTGGGTATTGTCAGTGTTGGCATAGGCTTAGTGTTGGCTTGAGTCCTGGTAGGGTTAAAAAAAAAGGAAAAAAGCAGAGTGCCTCTAAGCCAGGCAGCTGGCAACATTTTCCCAAACTTTTCCTCTTCTCCTCCCTGACCTACTGCTTAGGCTCCCCTGGCTTGAGAGATCAAGGCCAGTTTCATTTTCTATACTCTTCCATAGCTATGGCCCTGGGAGCTGCTCTTTGCCCACTGTGTGGAAGTACTACATTGTACAGTTTAATGTATGTATGCTGAAAAGCAAGTTGAGATTCTTCTGTTTATAAAGCATAAATAATCTAGTATCCCTTGGCTACACTGCAGCAAAAGGACCACAGGCTTTACTTCACATGCTCCTTGGGCATGATATTCCACATCCCTGCCTTCAGGCCTGGAGAATCACATCTACTCCCTGATGGATCTTGATCACCAGGAGCAGTAAGTAGAGTTCACCACACACTCAACTGGAAATCCATGCATTACAGGATCCTTTAGAGTATCTTGAGAGTTGTAAAGAGACATTTATCCTGTCAGGTGAAATGTAATTTTCTTCAGTTCTATCAATAGAACAAAGTACAAATCTGCTCTTCTGAAAGTACGTTGGAGTTTTGCCAGTGACTTCTGTAAGAAAATAATGGGTCCCCCATTCAATTCTTCTATTTTGAAAATACCTATCTATTTATCTTTCTAAGGTGTAAAGCAAAAGAGAAGCTGTATGTCTGTCTATAAAAGTACATATTGTCATAAACTTGATTTTAGTAACTAACTGAACACAAGGGGCAATGTTCCTTTTTGACATGCAACTTTCTGGTATTACCTTACTATAAAAACAGGCAGGAACCAAAGTTTCTCTTACAGCTGACAAATAGTCCTTATAGCTGTTCTAGACTGTGCTGCTCAGAGGTTGGATTTTGCTTTCTGATACTGCTTTTCTAGATTAACAGAAGTTATGAAAATAATAGGAAAAAGGGGAGCAAATGTAACCACTACAATATATTCTATATATGTTTTCTAACACATAGTAGTGTCTTTTGTAACATGAGCCATAAAACTTGTGTATTTATGTTCAAAGTATAAATTGAGAAAAATGTTGAATAAAAAATATGGTAAAAATTAACTTCAGAAGAACATCTTGGGTTGTCATTTTAACTAGAAGGTTAGAATTTGGGTCATGTGTTAATGAATAATATATATATTAATGTACTTATGCAAGAGAAAATAGGGTATGTGGTTAGGATGACAAAGATGATTTTTTTTTTAGTTTTTTATTTCTACAATTTAAACACTAGCAAATGCAGTTTCTGAAAATTATGCAGTCATTTATTATAAGGTTTGATTACTGTATCAATGGACCCAAATAGTGTCTAAGCAGTAGAATTTCTACTATGCTGTGTGGAGTAAGCATCAGCACTTGGGCAGCATGCATGCTGCATAAAAATGAGAAGCATTAATTTTGAAAATGAGTATTGCACAGGAAAAGCTTTAAGAGAGGAAATAAATTTTCAGTTGCTAACAGGCAATTCTTTCTAATTAATCTGCCCTAAAGGATACATACATAATCCCATGATTGTGTTTAAATATGGAGACTTGTATTTATCAGGCTCAGCAATGGCCTTTTCGAGTGTACCTGTGCTAGAATAAACAAACAAGAGGATTTACTGAGAATTCCTTGGTTGCTAGGAAGGCCTGCCTTTTTGCTCCTGGCTGTATACCACATCTCTTTAATACATGGTTCTGAAAAACATCAAATCACATGAGCACAAGATACCTGTGCACACCTGGAGACAGATTGTGTCCCAATGGGAATTTACAGTTTATTATTTATGGTGACAATCTGAGGGCTAAAATTGCTTACTGCTTCTTTGAGACAGGCCTGAATATTGGGAAGGGTTTCCTGAACTGTGGTTCAGTGCTTAAACTTCACTGCTCCTCTCTCTTCTGTCCTATTTAGTTTTCTAACTGCATATAGACAAATTGGTTTTTGTAAAATGCATTTGCAGGTGAATATCAGTCATTTGAAAGGTGCAGCTGTAATTGAGGGTTCTGCATGAGCTAATCTGTATTGCAATGAGTATGCCATGGAGCTGATAACAGTATTTTTAGATTGCTTTACATAGCTTCATAGTAATAATGCTTCATATAATAATAGTCCTGTTAAGAAGGCAGATTAGTATCTGTAGCTAGGAAGAAAATAAGTTGAAAAGCATTTGCCTGACTTGAAGCTATATGATGAGTCTGTAAAAGCACACAGATTAAAGCCATTGCTGCTCTCTAAGCCCATGGTTAGTCCTTTAAACAATCTCCTCCTTGCAGGTGTCCTGCATATGTGGTGGTGGAAAATGTCTGTGTGAGTAAACTGGCCAGGACCAGGGCGGCAGCGGGAGTGCTGAGCTGTGATCACAGGTGGTAGTTGGCTGGCTGGGGTTGAGCCTGGCATGGGCTGCTCCCATCAGACTGCACTGGCAAAGCCCCTTGCCTGCTACACTTTAGGAACTGATTAACTATGTTGATGTAAATTGTGTGGTACCATTTGCAGAATAGGTTTTCTGCCTCTAGTGTTTTGATACTGATGCACCCATCCATAAAACCTTCTTTCTGTGGGATGGTTGCCTGTAAGTCTGGAACTTGAGAGCTGTCAGGAGATAGAAATACCTACTAGCATAGACTTGACATGTACTATACAGGTACTAAGCTGGTATGAAGAGTGCCGCTGTTAATCTGGGATGGTTCATCAGCTGCTTGCACCATGCCACAGCTCAAAATTCTGGTCTACTTCCTATACCTTTTAAGATTTAGGGGCTTTATGGATGTATGTAGAATCTGCATCCTGTTTCCTCACAAATGCAGAGCATGCACACTGCCAGATCTAGCTGCTATTCAATTTGAGAATTCTAGCTTGAGATTTTTCAGAATTAGTTGCTGCTGCCTTGCAATTGTGCTTATTTGATTAATAGCATTTTCTTTAAAGACGTGCCCAGCTACCAAATTGCCAGAAATGCTTTTTTCCTCCTAAAACAAGAGTCAACAAAGCAACACTGAAACAGCTTCAGATGAAAGGATCAGAAAATTTTCTAGCAAATAAAGATTTACTGAGTAACTCCATTTGAAATGCAACAATGCCAATATATGACCAAAAGCGCTTCAAGTGCTTTGGCCAAGCTCCATAAACCACACTATAAAGCAGTTAGTCTTTCACAGCATGACCTTCAAAGGTGTTCAAAGGGATTTTTTTCCTCCAGCAAAACAGGCCTTGACAGCAGAACTGCAAGTTCTACGGTTGTACATATTGTTATACTCCAGTGATAATCACAGTTATCATTAGTGTGTGTCCAAACCTACAAGACGAGCCAGAACACCTAGGATTAAAATGACACACCTTGGGGGAGATGAAATCATTGTAGGAATTTACTGGAAATACAATTTCAGGAGTATTTTGACATCAAAAGGTTCAGCTGAGCCTCCAGCAGAGTTTTCTCAAAGCACTGAAGTACCTGATTTCCACTGAAATCTCTGTATCTTAAATGGCCAAATGCAGAGAACAAGAATGGCCTTAAATTCAAAAAACTTAACTACAGAGCTACAGAAGTTTCATTTTTCCTTTCTCCTATTCAACATTGGAGAGAAACTCTGTGGCTTTCAACTTGAGCATCAGGATCACCTTTAATGTGGGTACAAAAACTGCATTCGCTCACGCCTTCCAAATCAAATTGTTTAAATTGTTTCCTGTGGGCTTTTCTGGTTTGCTCTATCTGTGTGCATTTCAAGTTGCAGAACATGCCTGCCAGACTACACTTACT